CCGGTTTGGTTCGGGATCTCCTGCACGGTTTGGTCTGATATTTCCCGGTTCATGATTGAATGAGTTTGTCTTTACCTAATCATTGTGTTGCCTCTCAGTCACACTATGAATTTTGAATTTGTGGTAGTTAAACCGTTCCCTTCATCAAAAACCAATTCAGAAGTTTTTAACTGAGAAGAAGCTATGCAATTACAAATGGAAAATGGTCAATGGGACCACTAGACATAAAATTTGTAAGATGTTGAGAGCGTCAAGGCATTGCCTTTCAAGAGATATACATAGAGAAGTAAGGTAGTTATGGATACTAGAAGTGGAAAGCTTAAGGTGAGGGATTTGCAACATAGTCAATTAGCACATGAAATCTCTGTACCTCTCTTTAAGAAGGCATTAATGTCCATTGCTTCATCATCTTTATAAGCTGATCACTCCTTAGCTTGTTTCTCAACACTTTTCAAGATCATACTTTTTTTTCTATCTCTCAGGAAGCATCTTTTAAGTTTCTTCTCTCTACATACTACAAGATATGGCAAGGGTACAAGAACATTTTCCTTTCCTTTTTTTTTTTTTTTCATTTCTATCATATATATTTGCAGCTCTTGATTTTAACATGAGTGTATACTACATTGAGCAGCAAATTATGGTGTTGAAGGTGCATATGAGGTGTGGCAAATGCAGGACCAAAGCACTCAAGATTGCAGCTGAAACATACGGTAAATTTTAAGAACCAAAACATACACAAAATTTAGAGATACTCACGCCTAATGAAAAGTAACAAACATTTCTCAGGAGTTACATCCATTAGGTTGGAGGGCGAAGATCAAGAGAAGCTGTTCGTTGAGGGACATCAAGTGGAAGTAGACAAGCTCGTCCAAGTTCTGAAGAAGAAAGTAGGCTACACTCAGATCCTCTATGTTTCTAGTCTCTAGACCTTTTACACACCATTACCATCTGGTTTTATGATGTGTCATTGGAGCAGTATTTGACATGTGTTTCTATTGCATTAGTATCTTTCCAGTTTTTGGACATTCATTTCACAAGATTTCGAATTTGCTATCTGCTTTCTGTTGTCTGAATTGCTCTGGTGCATCATGAAAATGTCATAAGAACATTCCATACCAATGGATTAGCTAGCCGTTAAAACTTACAGAAAATGTCATTGTGGTAGCATTAAACCATTTACAAAACACCGACCTTACTTGATGCATTACATAACCACAAGCCTAAACAAACCAAAACATCTTTACTCTTAACGGTTAACCAGCTTGGATCTTCATTCATCAATGCAGTTTATTCATTATCGATCAATTACTCCCTTAAGTAGATTTTTTGATCTTAGATAGCTTTGCCAATGCCTCTTCTAAGGGCTGATTGATCTTGTCTTTTCTCCCCTGTATAAATTCAGAAACAAACTCATTGCCTTTTACATAGGAATACGGATATGAAAAATTGAAAATATACATACACATGAGTCTAAGAAACAAGCCTCAGATCCTGGAGGCACTAACTAATGCATACCTTTATCGATGGAACAAAAGCAAAAACTTCATCAGTACTTTCTGGGCAAACATTTGCAATCACACACATCTACACATAACCATAACCCACAATTAGAAAAGGTGCTCAAGGTTTGTTGTTTAAATTGACGGTCTTTGGTAGAGTTTACTACCTCGCCTTCAGAGACACCATGCTTCTTTAGAGGGCTAGTATCAATCATACTCGTTAAGTTATAAACAACACAGAATACAATCCGGTAAGAGGGTCTAAGAAAATAAAGGCAGCTAAAGAAGGATACTCAAGGATCTGTCTCACAGACTGAGGATTCATATAGCAACTACCATATTTCAGGTACTCCAGTCCTCTATCGAAAGGTCTGGAAACAAAAACTACACTGTTAGAGAAACCCTAGACCTTTTTTTTCCAGCATGGAAATAGAATGATACAGTGACTGACACAGGAATTTTGATGGTAGGATCTTCAGATAACACAGTTATTTGTTCCTTGATGCCTTGAAGAATCTGAAAAGCTTCACAGTCCATCAAGCACTTTGCATTCTCCGGAAGCTCTGCAACAAAGACAATCCATCACACAATAATCAAAAACATATTACCATGAACCTCAACGAGAAAGAACAAAAGAACGGCCTTGAGAGAGCAAATGGTAGATGTAACAAACCCTTTTCAGTCTTGAGCTCAAGTGGCTGGGAATCTTTGGAGACAGAACTTTTCTTAGCCTTGTTGCTTCCTTTCCCACCTTTAGATTCTAAAACAAAGCAAATGAGCCAGACACAATGTGAACAAGAGAGCGAAGAGGGTTAAAAGATTGTAAGCAAAATCAACCAAAGAAGAAAAAGGTTAAACCTTTACTAGCAGAAAACCCTTGAAAGTTGTCATCAGATCCTTGGAGAACCTTAAAACGGGATTCCGATTTGCCTAAAAGCACGAACACAGAAAATGTAACATTTATACACAAAGAAAAAGTTGGGACAATGGTTCGGAGAAGAAGAAAAGGAGAACCTAGGTTATGGTCAAAATGGACTTTCCCTGTCTTCTTGGGCTTGGTTGAGCTATCGTCCTTGCCGGATTTGGACTTGAGAGAAGATTTGAACCCTTTCCCTCCTTTCTCCGACATGACTACTTTCCGATGGCGACAGAGATCAAGCAAGCGACGAGGAGGAAGAGAGTGTAAGTGTAGCGTCAAACGGCGGAGACGGTAAACAATAGACCGAGTATAGTCAGTGTTAAATGGGCCTTAGACGGGCTTTTATAGTGTTAAATGGGCCTTAAAGTGGAAGAGATGCCATCAAGACCACAAAGAGCATGGAAAGTTCATCAAGTAAGAACGATGATTTTAATCAAATTTTGAAGAGGCTTTGTTTAGGCAGAGTATCAACAACATAATCACAAAACTCTACACTTTTCTCACTACAAACCAATTGCTACAAACAGACAAAGTCAGATACTAAGACGTAAGAAGAAGAATAAGGAATACAAGTCAAGAGTAGCACTAGCATAAGCTTCTTCACCTACATTTGCTTTGCACTCTCGCTTCATTTGGATGTTTGTACGGGCGTGCGTACAAAGACCAACCCTACCGTAAACCTTTTTCAAAATGAATCAACCCGCACTAAAATGAGTTTACTCCATTTTCGTAGAATGGATATTTCTTTGGCCTTTCCTCCATTTCCATCAAAAGGAGATTATGGTACTTGTTGCTGCTGCTGTTGTCTGCTTCCATATTCTTTCTCCAGGAACCCAAATATCATTTTCAGACGATCCTGCAGATTTACGAGGATGTTCTTTGTCACCCTTTTCTGATGTCTAGTGCTCTTTAGCCATTCGATACCAAAATATACTCGCACGTATGTTGTCATTGGTTTTGACGCAACTTCTTCCATCTGGTATCTAAGATGGAGATTGAAATAGTCACCTAGCGGAACTCCATGGAGAGTCATCACCTCTTCCACAAGCCAACCGTTCTTATCTGCCACAAGAGACTTTTGCTGTGTACTTGTTACTTCCCCTCTGTATCGTGAAATCCGCTTATCCCTGTAGTAAGTCTGTCTCTCATACACATCATCAGCCTTCTCTGACTCCCACGGGCTGCATGAATAGCTCTGGCAACCCGCTCTCTCCATTGCCTTACGATCTACTTCACCACCACCAAACAACTCCATAAAGAAACTTACCTAGAGCAGTCAGAATGAACAACTTTAAAAACTCAAATACACTCTTGACGAAGCACATTTTCAACTACAGTTGCTTTACAATGAAAGAGAAGAAACTCACCGGAACAGGGAGAGTCAAAGAGTAGACCTCATTGAATCGGACATCATCAACACCCAAGAACAAACCACTCTCTTCACTTTGGAGTTTCTGCTCTGATTCCTCTTCAACAGCTTGCACTTTCTGCTCCGGGGTCAAGGATTTTGCTTTCCACAGAGCCATTATTGTCCTATAAACAAAAATCAAGTCTAAAATTCATATCTTATCTCAATGAGTCTAAATAGCAGGAATTGAGGGTTAACTCTTGATAGGTGAACATGTCTAGAAAAGAAGTGATACTACAAGACTACCGATTTTCATATTCAGATTAGAAAAGGGTATATCCAAGAGCTAAAGCATATTGGTCGGGGCACATAAAATCTACAATGTTGCTAAGAACGAGCAAGCAAATAATAACAAATGAACCATCAAGGAAAGAGGAAGCTTCGTAACTTACTTTTGTGCCACATTGAAAGACACAAATGAGTGGAAATGGAACTTAAGCCTGCCTTCCTCATCATGTATCTTTGCGCCTGCCCGCGCATCCATTCCTCTACCTGGTCTGAGAGTCATGACGATAATGGGACTCCCCATTGAAGCAAGAGTTGGAGGAAGCACTTGTATATCCTCTATATCTTCCCACAGGAAAAAGAATTTCGTTTTGTTACCAAAAAGGCTTGCATAAAAGCCAACAATTCTTGCAGACAGGAAAAGACGACCCTGCAGAAGCAAAACTAAATTAAATGTGTTAAACTCTCTTCAATACTAAACAATGTGATGTACATCAACATCTCGTTACCTGCAAAGGCATTTTCCGCTTTAAGTGACATGTAAAGTCATTGATCAGAAATTCTTCTTGTGGGAGACCAAAGAGCTTCTGAAAAGCTGAATTTGTTTGAGGAGACCGCACATTGATCTGAAATTTCCATTCCCCAGATAAGAACTTGCACCAACAATTGCAGATTAAATGTTGATTGAGAGAATAAAGTAGTAGCCACATACCTTCTTGCCCACCTCTTTCTCCATCTTATTTAAATAATCTCTAACAACATCACCACCTCCTGTATGATCCAAGAAAATCCTTAAGTGCAGCTTGGATTGACAAGCCTGAGCCAGTTTCCCTTGAAGTGGAATCCAAACATCTGCTAGATCAGATATATTAGATCTCACAAAGTTGATCTCAGCATGCCCCAATGAAACAGCCTCGTCAAAAGGTCCGTCGAAATCGTACACTTCAACATTCAGTACAGAAGGAGGATCCGCCATCGCATCGAATTCGAATATTTCTGCACAAAAGAAAAGATTCCAACCCTCAAAAAACTTATGATGACAAATCAAAGAGTCTAAACATTCAAGAATTGAAGCAACAAGTGTATAAAAGTCAGTCTGAGGACATGACCATAAGCAACCATTTACCATTCCACTGAGGATGAGATTTCTGGAACTTGATGGAGCTGGTTCTCGTCTTCCCATTAGAAGTAAATACAATATACGGATCACATTGCCCGCTTGGATCTACAGCTGCTAGATCGACTCCCTCAATTAAAGCAACAGTTAGCAACCAACCATCTCCATGCGCTTTGATGCCATGGTCACTGCCTATAATTGAATTTGACAGTTAAAGTTCAGTAAGATACACACATCAGGCTACCACTGAGAGGCCACATGAAAGAAAATGAAATGGTCGATGGTTATATACCTTTCTGTTTTCTTGCCTGCATGAAACGGGAAATCAATTGCAATACTCTTTCACACTGAAGAACAAGAACCCCACTAACAACAAATTCCCCAAGTGAATCCGGTAAATCAAGGCCATTAAACTCAAGCCCTTGCATTGCACTGGGTAAGGCACACATAATATGGACAAATACATAAACACCAATCATGAAAGTGGAGAATACAGTGAAATTGGCAAAATATTGTACTGCCAATTTCCAGTCTGATTGAGGCTCAGCTTGCAAGGAAGAGAGAGCTTGCTCTTTATTCACACCAATATCTTTTGAATCCACAGGCTTTACATTTTGAGCCACCAAATTGGCATACTGTTCAAAGTTGTCTTTTAGACCTTGTCGGGCTCCATTCTCTATCATACCTTTCATCATGGTGCTCTGAAGAAAATTCAATCTCCATGAAATTACCAAACGGGAACATTGATCCCCAGATGGCAGCTCAGGGCCAGGAGTTATGCAGTAAAGCACTTCAACCTTGAAGGTACCTCCGAATGGGACATCTGGAGTGGCAACACTTGCAAGAACCGCGTAAGACTCTCCATCCGCTTTGAGATATGTCTGCTCCTCTGTACCTTTGACAGCCTTAATAAGCTTGGTTGGAGCCTTGAGGTAACTTACAACCCGCTTAACGCTCTCGCCTTCGTTTTCAAGTTTCCATGGTCCTATTTGAACTTCCGTGGTCCCTTGCAATTCAGTCAATGATCCATAGAAACTCGATTCGGGTGAGAAGAGCAGAATGTTAAGGTCTGATGGGGCAATCATAAACAATTGGTCGACAACGATTCCACCTGGTAGATTACTAGGAAGTTCACTTCCCTGATCTTTTGACTCCATCGCCTTCATTACTTCCTCAAAGGAAGCAGAAGATGACTCTTCTTCAGACATCTCAACGGAAAAGATCTCAGATATGTCAGACGCGTCAATGCTCCTACTAGTAGTAGAAGACAATGTAGGTGCAGCTGCATCAGCACTCTTCTGAAAAATCTGAGCAAATCGACCAGCAAAGGTTTTCTGCGCATTCGAAGATGGACCATCCTCTGATCTAGCAGGAGAGGCACAAGAGGAGGGATGAATAGGGGATTCCACTCCCAACTCAGGACTCCTGGAAGCAGAGACATGATCCCCAACAGAATTCAAATCAAGAACCGAGTTCTTCTGACTGAAACATATCCCCAAAAGTATTTCACCTAGAAAACAAAATGGATCAAAGTAATGTGATATGGCCACAACAAACAACATCTAAGTCAAAGACTACAAATTGGAGCGTACCACAATCCTTTTTGGAACCTTTCTTCTTGGGGTTAAGAGGATACCAAACATTGCCAAGAGATTGATTCTCTGCATCGAAAACACGAGAAACGGGAACTCTAACCTGCCCAACGAAGTCATCGTTGAAGTATTTATCCTCATCAAGAACAGAGACGACGAGTTCTTCATTCAAATCATCAACACCAAAGCTGAAATCATCAGCCCATTTGGGGTTTAAGTTCTTCTTCACTACTTTGGTCCTTGACCTCTGTTTTCCCAGCTGCAATCTGACATAAGGGTCGCTGTAGCCATTGAGATCCATCGCCGGAAGATTCCTCGCTTCCACGACTCGTACCTGAAGCTTCATCGAGAACGAAATTGAAGATCCCGAATTGCCCACAAACAGACAAACACTCACTAATGGAGAAAAGCTGATTGATTTGGATGAAAAAGATGGTCTTTACGACAAGGGCCCGCCTGAAATTAGTGGAATCTCAAATAAGGATCATGTGAGAGAGAAGCT